ACCTTGCAATTACTATGTTAAAAGCACTGTATTTACTTTTGTGTATCTATAGTTCGTAAAAGACCTTGTGAGAGTCCCTGTACTTTTGTTGCGTCAACAAAATTCTGTAGAAACTCAAGCAGCAACGGACGTTAAGAATCCACAAACCTAACGATGAAAAGTCTGACTTTGATAAGATTAAATCCTTATGTATCCACGAATACACAGGCAAAGAAGGTAAAATTATCCTTCAAAGCATTATAGGCCGTACAGGAAACCCCTCTTTGTTGCCAATCTTCCCACTATTAGTATTTCGACAATTGAGGTCACTGCGATTAGGTGTATAAAAGCGTATGGCTGACCAGTCGTCCTTTGTTCGGTCAAGCAGAGGTCGAACCTCTACAACCAGTATACTTGGAGTTTTTTGTCGATTACTACCAAGTAACTTTACCCATGATAGCTGCGCCTTCCTTTCCGAATGTGTCTTGCGCCAACACAAGTTATACAGTATGTGAGTCAGTTTCGATAAACGTGCAATATCTTTCTTTTCACAATTGAAATTAAATAACACCTTTTCTTCTTTGTCAACTTCTATATATTAATCATGCGTACGTAACTTGATTTGTTAATATTGAATGATTTCAATATCGGAAGATAAAAAAATATTTCTTCAAGTTATTGTGCCATCATTGGCAGTAACCAATGCATTGCAAAATATAGGGATACTTGAATGTATTTTCCTGCTACTTTTTGGTATTCATTATGGATAATATGACAAGCAAAGCTACTGCTAGCAGTCGTGTGATTTCTACAGACTAATGCGTATTAAAATTTCTGTGATACTCTTGTTACAAGCCTGTTAAATATGACCGTCCTCATGCGGCGGAATAGAGATCAGGTCGAGCGGCTTCAAAAGTATCTGGGAGACACGCAACATGCCAGAGAAAGTTAGGGAAAACCTCGCAATGCTAGTGAGAGCCGACATGTTTGAGTTATAATGGCCATGCGTTACAAACTGTTACGTAATTGTCGCATGCAAATTTTCAGTATGTGCTCTGTCACATTCTGTCATTCATCATATCGGTCGGGTCTGCGATAGTACATTCAAGACGTTCTTACGACTGTCGTGGATGTGTCGTACAAAACTCAACTGTCTCAAGAGTTATCGTAGATCCATGTCGGTGTTCGTTTCTTTTACTCAAAGATATTCTAGTATTCCTACCACAAATAAATTATATCTATAACTCACGTGTGTCCAGTGCTGAGATTTTATGGGGTGTCGATATCACAATAAATGGAGAATCTCTCACGCCAGCTGACGTCTTGCAGCGGGTGAAAAGATTATTCCTCCAACTCTCATTTTTCATTTCAAATCCAGGATTGGGCGAGTTGACGCTTCTTGATCCCTTTATCCTAACAGATGGTGGGGATGGAGTCCCACAGCTAATATATCTCAGCTAATTTTCAACACAAATTTTCGACTCCAAAGCTCCCTGTTATCTGTGCATC